GATGGGTTGAAAAAGTTGATCCTTGAGGAGACTCAAAGTTCACGGTATTCCATTCACCCAGGTTTCACGAATATTTAACGTGACTTGAAGCAACATTATTGGTGGGAAAGATGAAGAAATATAATGTTGGACATGTCTCTCGGTGTTTGAATTGTCAACAGGTGAAGTATGAACCTAAGAAACTAGGTGGGTTGACACAGAAATTGGTGATACCGGAGTAAAAACAGGAGCACATCACTATGGACTTTGTGGTAAGCGTATCACGGACCTTAAGGAAGTATGATGATGTTTGGGACACTATGGAGCGGTTGACTAAGTCCGCCACTTCATTCCGGTGATGACATCCTATTCTTCAAAGATTTGGCTCAGATTTACATCGGGGAGATTATTCACCTGGACGGTGTGCCCATTTCTATCATTTCATATTGAGGAATATAGATCACTTCACACTTTTGGAGAGCTGTGCAGCGTGAGTTGGGCACACGGGTCGAGCTGAGTACCGTATTTCATCCTCAGATGGACGGGCAGTCTGAGCGGACCATTCAGATTCTAAAGGCATGTTGAGAGCATACTCTATGGATTTTGGGCGTCAGTGGGACCAGTTTCTATATGTAGCGGAGTTTGCCTACAATAACAGCAACCAGTCGAGTATCCAGATGGCTCCATACAAGGCCTTATATGGGAGGCGATATCGTTCTCCAATTGGTTAGTTTGAGCCCGGTGAGGCTCGATTATTGGGCACATACTTGGCTCGAGATTCTTTGAAAAAGGTGAAGTGATTAGGAGCGGCTTCATATAGCTCAATCCAGGCAAAAGAGTTATACAGACCGAAAGGTCCGAGATGTGGCTTACATGGAAAATGAGAAAGTTCTTCTCCGGGTTTTGCCTATGAAGGGCGTGATGCGATTTGGAAAGAAGGGCAAGTTGAGCCCGAGGTTTATTGGCCCATTTGAGATCTTGGAGAGAGTTGGGGAGGTTACTTATAGGCTTGCATTGCCTCCTAGCCTAGCAGGGGTACATCCGACATTTCACGTTTCCTTGCTTTGTAAGTACCATTAAGATAGGTCACACGTTTTGGACTTCAGCAAGGTGCAGCTCGATGAGAATCTAACCTATGAGGAAGAGCCGGTGGTTATTCTAGATCGGTAGGTTCGAAAATTGAGATCCAAAGATATTCCTTCAATGAAAGTGCGTTGGAGAGGTCGGGCGATTGAGCATGCTACATGGGACTCCAATTCCTATATGAAGAGTAGATACCCGCATCTTTTTACTAGTCCATGTACATTTCTATGTTCGTTCGAGGACGGACGTTTCTTTTAGAGGTGGAAAATGTGACGACCCGATAGGTCATTTTGAGTACTAGCTCCCTTTTCTATGTTTTGAGAATTCCATAGCTCAATATGACAATTTATGACTTGCATGCGTTGTCCGCGTCGATTTTCGAAAAATGTGAATTTTTTAAAAAAAATAATGAGCTATGGAATTCGGTAGGTTCGTATGATGATTTTGGACTTGTACACATACTTGGTTGGAGTCCCGGTTAACCCGAGGTCATTTCGGCGGCATTATGTAAAATGTTGGAAAAGGGAGTTTTGAACTTGAAAATCTTGACTTTTATTAATCGATTCTTGAATTTTGATATTGTTTTGATGATTTGAGCTAGCGATCTAGTTTGTATGATGTTATTATACTTGCTTTGGATGTTTGGATTAGAGACCGAGGGGCTTGGGAGAGTTTCGGATGCGTCGCGGATAGTTTTGGCTTTGCAGAGAAACTGTGGTGTGCATGGTCTGTAGGTCTCGCATTTGTGATGACCTGTTCACAAATGCGAGCTTCGATTTTGCGAAGTCAGGCTCGCATTTGCAGTGTGGGACTGGGACTGGGAACTTCACTTTTGCAGTGACAGAGTCGCTTTTGTGAAGGTGGGGTTCACGCATTTGCGACTAATGTGTCGCATGTGCGACATTGGGCAGTAGGAAGAGCTTCGCAGATGTGAAGCTTGGTTCTCTTTTGCGAGGCGGGGGACCTTTGCAATAGCAAAGGTGTTGTCGCATTTGCGGCATCTATGGGCACAGACATTGTTTGCTTTTGCAAACAGTGGTTCGCGTTTGCGAACATCGCAATTACGAGCAAGAGTTCGCAATTACGATATCTGCAACTAGGTAAAAGTTTGAGATTTCGAGACTTACTCATTTTACACCATTATTGAAACCTAGATTTCATAGAGGCGATTTTTGGAAAGAAAATTTTTTCCAACTTCATAGGTTAATAACTTTAACTTATTTTCTTTTAATTTCCATTACTTTTTCATGAATTGTATCCTCAAATCTATGATTTTTAGAGTAGAAATTGGGGGGGGGGGGGTAGGGGGGTAGAATTTAGGAATTTTATAAAGTTGAGATTTAGACCTCAAATTGAGGTCGGGTTCCTAAATAAATTACATATTCAGGCTCGGAGGTGAATGGATAATCAGGATTTGGTCTTAATTTCATATTTCGACCACGTGGGCTCGGGTTGACTTTTTTTTTAACATTTTCAATTATGTTAAAGATTGAACCTTTATCGTATGGGACTAGTTTCTAAAGCTTATTTTGACTTGTTTGAACAATAATTGACTAGATTCGGGTAGTTTGAAAGTTTGTTCCAAAGGGAAAGTCGTGTTGGGTTGTTGATTGTGTTCCGGAAAGAGGTAAGCGTCGTGGTTAACCTTGATTTGAGATAACTAGGACTTGATTGGTCTATGTGCTGCGTGATTTATGTGTGGGGACGTCATATATGCAAGGAGACAGGTGTATATGCATTATCATAGGTTCAAGCATGCGGGGTGTACTTCTTAATTGCATGTCTTCAATTATACCATGTCTTCATTGATTTTATGTTTTTACTTGTTATGTGCTTTACTTGTCACATGTTCTTACTGGTTAAATATATGCCTTCACTTATTGCATGTCTTTAATTGTTACATGCTCCCACTTAATTATGCCTTTATTTATTATTTGTGTTTACTTGTTATATGTTCTTACATGTTATTAGATAGTTGTTTTTACATGGCTCGTGCTTTTACTTGCTTATTCATCTTTACTTCCTTCCATTTCACTCTAGTATGTTATATTGGATTGTCTTAGAGGATTTATGCGTATTAGGATTTAGTTCCCTTTTTATGTTGCGTTGTGAGATTTGTCAATTGGTTGATATATATATATATATATATATATATATATATATATATATATACGCATTCTAGAATATATATTACTGAATTTAGATGTAGTAATCTTAGAATAAATAAGTAGGCTTTTAACCAGTAATAGTCCTAGAATAAATTAGTAGGCATTTATTTTTCAGACTTTATTTGGTCAGTTTATTTTATTTTGAGATTATTTTACTATGATTATTTTATTTTGGTCAAGATTTTCATATTTATGTTATAAAAATTTATGTTTATGTATTTGTATATTTATTAAAACCTTAACCTCTGAAGTGTAGGAGGGGGAGGATCGGGTTGGGCGCCGTAATGGAAAGGATGAATTATGGTCATTCTTGGTTGTTTTATACCGCTACTGTGTTGTTGTGTAAGATTGTGATTGAGATGATATTTTTTGAGGCCCTCTGTCATTTATTTCTTATTCTGTTGATCGTATAGGTATTTGTTTCCCTATTTTGTTATTGCTTTCCTGCTTATTACTCGTACAAGTTTTTAGTGAGTATCTTATCATAACCTCGTCACTAGCTCGTCGAGGTTAGGCTTAGTACTTACAAAGTACATGGTTGCGGTTCTACTCATATTATACTTCTGCATTTTTTGTGCAGATCTCAGTATTGGTCCTAGCGGCGTTCAGCGGTGATTGCTCGGACACTTCCTTCCAGGAGACTAGAGGTAGTGCTGCACGACGTTTGCAAACCCTGAAGCCCCCTTCCTATCTTTATTGTTGTTTACTTTGCATCAGACAGTTTTGTATTTCAATTCAGACCTTATATGTAGTATTTTAGTTGCTCATGTACTTATGACACCAATTTCTGGGAATAATCTTAGACAACGATAGTTTCGGATTTATTACGCATTTCAGGATATTTCAATCTTAATTTTTATTATTGTATTTTTTAAATTGTGAAACTGCTTAATTATTGTGCTTATATTGGTTTGCCTAGCAAGCATATGTTAGGTGTCATCACGACCCAGTGGTTGAGATTTTGCTTCGTGACATGTTGGGTGGTGACTCACCAATCTAGCTAGCTACACCCCGAGATAAAAGCTCACGCGACACCTAAACGTACGACCCGAACAATGGGTCTTTCGCCCCGAAATCGCCCCGGTGCATTTTTACTACGCCTTGCCCCGGAACTCACACTAGAAACACCTTTTAAAAAATTTAGTTCAGTCATACAATGAGTCTAGCTATTGTTGTTCAAATCTTGACTAGATCTACGCTTCCCGAGCTCTATGTTGTGTGTTATGCAAGAGTTTTACCACCATAATTGACTATATTTAAGCCGGAGTACTCTAGGACCTTGATGCAAATGTTTAATGAAATTTCAAAACTCTTACCCAAAAGGGAAAAAAAGTAGTAATAAATATTTATTTGCACCTAATATTTAAATCAATCCAATACAATATACGTCTTTACACATTATTATCACCAAACCTTGGATAATTATACTCATCCTCAGTGTAATTTATCGGTTAAAACATTGAGTGCAAATAAAGTAATACTTTTTTTAAGCGAGAAAATGAAGACGTCAACATATTAAGAACAACAAAAAAGTAAAAGGCACCCATTTGGTTGGTCAAGCATGCTGTACCATACCCATAATATGGATATTTATATTATCCACCAGATAACTCATTTTTTATCCATCTCAAACACAGGTCGGGTCGGATAATTTATCCGTTTTTTAATTACTCATTTTCAACTCGCTCATATCCGACCCGATCCGCCCATTTGCCACCCCTAGTCAAAATCAAACTAATTAATACGATAGAATGAGAAAACACAATTTAGTTAACCTTTTGACAACTAAAAGTATATCGTTTTTAATTAGAAAGCAGTTGTATATATACATGCCGCGGACATAGTATAACAAAATATCAGGAACCAAATTAAAAAACTTGACAGGAGAATGGAAAAACAGGAAGAAGCAGCAAAACCATATCCAAATTTCCATTTACTGCAAGAGCGTTCCAAGATAGGCCTCCCTGGAAAGAAGGATGCAGCAATGAATTATGCCTGCTAGTCAGCAAGTTTTAGTAGCCTAATAAGGCAGCAGATACAATAGAAAGAAACCTTTGAATTTCATCAATTTATGTCCAGAAACCTCAAAAGATTTCACCACTATATCTAAGAACAAAATTCTGAACATCCACACTATTTTCCTTGATCTCAGTGTTGACTTATGCTGAAAATGACTCATGCAGATCAGTGTTAAACCACACAGAGCATCATCAATAAAGCATAATTTGTTCAACTTAAGGATCGACCTTCACAAAAATGGAAGCAACCCTACCTTCCAAACATATTCAACAGTCATTCCCCATGTTATTAGATACATCTTGGAAGTATTGCAAAATCGTTATTCTACTTCACAGGATCATTTTTCAGGAAAAGACACAAGATCATCATTCTCCGAATAGATTGCTGAACAGTTCTACTTCATCCCCCCCCCCCCCCCCCACACACACCAC